AATTGTTCCCATATGAATTTTGCTTTCTCCATTAACGTGGAACGAATACTTGTGGAAACTCCCACAAATAAACAGATTACGTGCACGAATACAATTCAAATAATACCCAAAAAAAAAAGTGAAAAATCTTATCTTTCATCTGAAATTATAACATTTCAAAATGCACTTTGATTTCTCTTGTTCACTTGATGTTTGTTTGTGGTTGCATTATTGTTACCTGCATTTTAGGTCGTTTATGCCGACGTTGTTGAAGAAATGATGAACCTTAGAAAGCATGGGGAACCAGCTGAAGATGTTCCTCAAGACCAAGTAAGAAATATACATGCTTCATCTTCTTCCTCACCATTTTCCCCCTCTCTGAGAAGGTTTTGTGTTTTTATTATATCGACTGCAGGTCCCAAAAACAAATGACCAAGCTCGTGACTCGTCTTTTGTGTAAGTGCTTTCTATATTGTTTGGTTGTCACCAATTTGCCTCTCAGATAATGTAGCAAATATCCATTAAAGAGTAATATAACTTGCACCCTTATATTTTGATTTTTCTGGCAATTCATTTGTGCAAATAATCATGATAATAGGGATCTGGAAATTACAAGTGTCTTTATTGCTTCTTTTTACCTGGTCCAGGTGAAAAGGTTTTGTCAAATTAAATCTAAATCAGAGAGACAAAGGTTTTTCCTTCTGAAATGTAAATTCAAGTAATTTGATATGGTAGTAATCTTTAGTATTGTAATAGATATACTGGGATTTCATATATGTATAGTTTTATATTCTGCCCAAAGGGAAGCTGATGTTAGAAAAAGTATGAGCACTATAGTTCTTCATTTTAGAGGGACCGCAGTACTAGAATTTCTATATGTTTCCTTTCTTTTTCGAAAGGAGCTGTTATGATGTGGCTCTGTGATCTGATTTGTATTGGGATGAATGTAACCAAATGAAAAATTGAAAAAGTGCTGACAATAACGTTTGGCGGACACATATATGCAGGTACGCTGAAGGTGACAAAAATGCCCGTCCGCATGTAGTGAAAAAGCATAAGGTTAGCCTGTTCTTAAAACTATAACCTTCTGTGCTTGGGATTGGCGGGCTGTTTTCTATGACACATCAAAGATGAAGAATCTTCTTTCCTATTTCGGGGATCAAAATGTATTTCACATATTAGAAGAATCTAACGAGTTACAACTGGTTTCAGTTAGATATAGTTGCAAAACCTATGCAATTTTAAACCTATAATGATCTAAAACTTCAATTCTAAACCTATTCAGATCTATAAATTACTTCCCTGTTGTGATTATTTAACGTCTAAACTTTTGCTTTCATGGTCAATCTTTTGAAATTTCTGACTCCTTCCGCAAATCCAGTAGCGTAAGTGCACAACATGCGTGTGAATTCATACTAAAAAATAAAAAAAGGGAAAAAACTGAGCCCTGCATTTAACCAAACACCCATTTTTAGCGGATCTCAAAAGTCAAATAAGCTGAAATGGACAAACAACTAATTTTTGTGGAAAACGCTATTTTCCAAATATCTCCATACAAAAAAACAACGAGAGCATTAATACACGAAACATGACAAATTGGACTGGTTAACACTAAAGCGAACGTAAAAGACTCGACTAAGGCACATGAAACACGCAAAAAACACTACAAAAATATAACAAACAACGACCATACAAGATGAAGTTCATTGTCCCAATTACATTGTTCCGATTACATTGTCCCGATTATTATGCTTTGATTTACATGTCCCTATTCGGAATGGATTTCATTTGAGATATGAGTACCTCTATGATGATATATATTATTAGGTGATTAATTGCATATTTTATCCTCACTGAGTGAGCTAGTGGTTTGCTCACCCTTTTTTTTCCCATTTTAGGTTGATCGGAGTGGCGCAGCGGAAGCGTGGTGGAGTGGTCATGGTTTCGAACAAGTTGAACAATTTGTATCTATTTTTTTATTAAGTACTAAAACTTTTTGCATGAGACTTGGTGTTTGAGATGGTTATTTACCATGATGATTTGGTTTGAGTTTAACACTTAAGATATTATGCTATGTTACATCGTTTGAACTTCTGAGATGAGAGTTTGAGAAATTAAGATCCCACAGTCCTGAGTAAGCAGTTCGAGACAGATAGTTCCTCAAGTTTAGAAGAAGAGTGTTCACCGTAGTGCCTTAAGAGAGTTAAATGTTTTTGAAAATTCAAATTATGAATTGTGGAATGAAAAATTTTAGCTTTTCAAACTCCGCTAACGCCCTTTCAAATGTCCAAATTACCCTTTAACATTTAGGGCATTAAATTTATCAATCGTATTATGTATTTATATATTATTTTTAGTTCAAATTATTGTATTGTGTTAGAACATAAATGAAATTACTCTAGAGAACATGCTTTATATAGTGCAAGTTTTAAAGTTTTATAATTATTTTGTTAATTATAATATTTTTATTTATTACTTTTTTTCCACTTACAGCAGTCATTAATGGGTTGTTACCTTCCTTAAGTGACTGAAGTCCAGAGATCGTCATCTACTTGTTGGAAGTCCTATAAATAAGACATGGTAGAGCTGCAGAAAAAAACACAATATCGCCTGCATCCTTGTATTCTCTCATAGTCTCATACATATACATACTGCTCAATTCTTGGTTCCGTTCAAGTTTATCGAAGCTCGAAAGTGTGTTTGTACTACAACTTTCGAGACGCCACCCGTTGTATCTTTAGGGACGAAACCATGAATCCGTTAGCACATTACGAGACGTATTCGTCTTTCGAAGAAAGCAACACTCATCTTGGTTATTGTCTTTCCACTTACAATTTTTAATTTTATTTTTTATTTTTAGTTCAAACTGTAAGAACTGAACCATACACTTCAATTGGTAAAATTCTCGTTAATAACAAGAGGAGGACCCCATACCACCATACTTGACTTGTTTTATTGTGTACTTCAGATGATATAAAATATATTATCATGCATGCCCCGCACCCGCACCCGCACCAAGTTCACAAGTGACGAGACGACAAATACTTTCTCGTTTGTCTTCAACGAAACTAATTAAATCAACTTGCTGGAACCATATCTTCAATTTTAAAATACTATAAATGTTACTCAATATTATAGATAGTTTTATTAATAATCGATCCACATTTGAAAATTAGTCTGTTAATTGTTATATGTGAGAATTTTGTATATGATAATTAATTTTGCATCCTCTAGTTATTCTCCCCCAAATAACACTGGTCCATCCATCGCGCTTGCCCCAAACAAGATTTCATTTGATCATTTCTTTTTTAAATTAAACTTTATAATTTATAGTCGCTTATAATGGACAGACCCCAAATTAATTAATTTACAGGCAATGATTTTCTCGCAGTTGTCTTTTTTGTTACAACATAACCTATATTACATTGAACTTTTAATCATATACTTTTTTCATGTTTCATTTTTTTGATAGATACATTAACACAACATTTATATTGCATTAATTCATACTTAATCAAATGCGAATGACAAATGACAAACAAGTGTATGTTCCCTACTGACCCATATATTACTAAAACCAATTAGCAAATCATTTTTGTTGAGTGCCCAGTTGTCCCTACATACGTCACCAATCGTAATTATATATATATATATTTTTTTTCTGTAATTATTTGGCAAAGATTGGTCACAGAAAAGGAAAAAGAACCACAAAGAAGCAAAGCTTGTGGACAAAGCAATAATTGATGTAAATAACAAAGGATTGAATTATTGATATAGTCAGTTGGAGATTCCCGATGGCGTATTATTGGACATCTTGCACAATCTGGACTCTGGTGGGACCAAATTACTGAACACTTAAAATGGGCACAATGTTTTCAGCCTACAATAAACACACCACCTGTCTAGATATAACGTGTGCCCGCAAAAAACGACCTCAACAAGAAAACTACTCTAGCCAACAGGCAAGAAAAAAATTTCTAGAGAAAATTGCAATTTTAGTCCAGTAACTTAGGCTGTTTCCCACTTTAGTCCAGTAACTTGGATCCATCCAAAATTGGTCCAAAAACTTCTAAAATGTAGTTAAATTAGTCCAATTCCGGCCCCCGTCGCCGGAATCCAAAATTGGTCCAAAAACTTCTTTTTTATAGTCGCTTATAATGGACAGACCCCAAATTAATTAATTATTTTATTAATTTTCAAATAATTATTAATACTTTTTTGATATAATTAAAATAAATTGTGTAAAAGTTAAAAAATTATTTTTATTTTTTCAAAAGTAAATTAAAAAATTTGAAATAAATAATATATACGGACGCCTAGACGCTGCCAAGACCGCCTAGGCGTCTGTCTAGGTCGCCTGGCACACCTAGGCGCTGTCTAATCGTTAAAGCGCCCAGAACGATCATATAGGCAAAAGTCGTAGCGCCTAGGTGATGCCTAGTGCCTCGGCATCTGCATAGACCAACTTTTAGTACATTGTATATAGGTATATAGTATAATAAGCTGATAAGTCAATTGAAAGAAAATCTGCTTTAAAAATGTTCATCCCACCATATCAAAAACTTATGTGAATAAGTATAAGTTCACTTAAATAACTTATAAGCTCAGTAAATAAGCTAGGCTATTACCGAACTTATTCACCCAATCTACGTGATACATTATTCACCCAATCTACCGGAGTTGGTCAAATAGTTTTATATTGGAAATATCATTAAACCAAATATAAGGTTTTATGTTTTATAAATAAAAGAAGACTGAAGAGAAAAACAATGAAAGCATGACGGAATGATAATACTATAATGGAAATTAGACTCATTCATATGTACAAGAATTCCAAAACAGGAAACACTTCAAAACTTGTATACTATAGTGTTAGAGAATAATGCTCAATGCACTTAAAGCAAGCTCACACAAAAATTCTACATACAAAAGAGGCGCATGGCTCGGCTGATTTTAAATCCACCTCGGCACCTCGTCAGTTAAATCCTCTTTCGTAAAATTAATAATTCAAAATGACCAACTTAGTCGTCACAAACACTGCTCTCCCCTTGCCAACTCCAGACTATATCCTTGAGGGCAGGCCTAATATCTTCCTCACACAACTTGTTGTACTCCAGCGTGTCGCCCGAAGATTTCGACAACTCCACGACTGCCACCTCAGGCGCCACCTCATACACCTCCGCCGTGACCGACAATTTACCTTTCCGCCCCTCGGAGGTCCCCTGCAACCTCACCTTGTAATCCTTGCTTGCGACCATCCTGAAACCCAGCTTCTTCGCCAAACACTCTAATTTCCCCATGATTGTCTGGGCCGAGGACTTGGAAGTGAACAATGACCCCGATTTCCTCTGGCTCTCGAACAAGCCTGACAGATCGAAACCTGACGACATGGAGGATATGAACTCGAATGCGTTGTAAAAGGGGGGAGCCGATTTTGATCTTGTCAGATCCAATTCTAGGCTCTGATCATCCGAATCTTTGTCCTCATGGATAGAAAGAGCTAGCGGACGGGAGAAATTTTTACAGAACCAGGGGAATCTCATAATCGCCGGAATCCCGATCCTCTTCGCCGGATCTGGGACCAAAAGCCTCGAAATCAACCGCTTGGACTCGTGCGAGAACCATGGGGGAAACTCGAAATCCGCCTTGAAGATCTTTGTGTACATCTTCATCATGTTCTCGTCCTGAAACGGCAGGAATCCGGCAAGCAGAACGTAGAGGATGACGCCGCACGACCAGATGTCAGCCTTGGCGCCGTCGTAGCCTCTCTTCCGCAGGACCTCCGGCGCCACGTAGGCCGGGGTCCCGCACTGCGTGTGAAGGAGGCCGTCGTTCCGGAGCTGGTCCGGCAGGGCGGAGAGGCCGAAGTCGGAGATCTTGAGGTTGCCGTCATCGTCGAGGAGGAGGTTCTCGGGCTTGAGGTCGCGGTGGTAGACGCCTCGGCTGTGGCAGAAGTCGACGGCGCTGATGAGCTGCTGGAAGTACCTCCGAGCGGAGTCCTCCCGCAATCGGCCGCGGGCGACCCTGGCGAAGAGCTCGCCGCCTCTGACGTAATCCATGACGAAGAAGATCTTCTGCCTGGTGGCGAGGACCTCGTGGATGCCGACGACATTGGGGTGGCGGACGAGGCGCATAACCGAGATCTCGCGCTGGATCTGCTCAATCATGCCTTCCTTCCGGACGTGGTCCTTGCTGAGGACCTTAATGGCCACGCTCTCGGAGGTCTCCAGATTACGGGCGTGGTGGACCTTGGCGAAGGTTCCCTTCCCGAGGAGGCGCCCAATTTCGTACTTGCCAAATATGACGGTCCGGGAGGCGGAGGCGGCGGCGGTGGGGTGGTGGTGGTTCGGCCGGTCGTTTGCCATTGATACCAGAATTCGAGGGTTTAATTGGGGATTAATTGTTTATTTTGATTTTGTATAGAAAAGTGGTTGTTGATTGTGTTAAAAGGGAGGTATAGGGGCATGAGGAGAGGGCAAGAGGGTAAGGGATAGGTACTGTGTATGGTGGAGAGTTTCATAAGCTCATCGGGGAGAGTGTTGGGAGATGATTTGTCAAAACTTTTATTGGTGGCGTTAGTTGCAACTCATATATAAAGAAGAGGAGGTGTACTGTAGACTGTTGATTGGGTGGAGAGGGAGGTTTATTAAATTCTAATTAGATCTCCATTTAGTGGAGTTGTTTTCTACAAAAATATTAAATAATTCATATTTTTAAGTATTTTTAAAGATTGAAATTCATAATTTAAAGATAGTATAAATAATAACATATTTCATCATATCATATAAATATATATTTTTGTTAAAAACAAAATGACGAATGGGCCCTTATATAATTAGATTGTCTTGCACAAATATTTGTATGGTATAAAATAAATAAGTAAAAATCACAATTAAGTAATTGAAAAAAAAATGTCGTGTTAAAAGGTTAGGTGGGCTAATCAATTTCTTTAAGATAAAATATTTACTTATAAAATAAAATGATATATATAATATTATATATATATATATTTATATATAATATTTTATATATTTTATATAAAATAAAATAATATATATATATATATATATATATATATATATATATATATATATAAGATTTGGTTCAAGTGAGGAAGGTGCTAAGTGAAAAAAATAAAATACATCTTAGCCATGATATCGGACAGTCCAACCGTAATAAAAAAAATTCACTCCAGTGCTGCTCCAGATATTTGCGTTACTCCACATATAGCTACAGTGTTGTGCCACAACGACTGCATATTTTTTAATGTATTTTAATGTAATATTAATGATAATTTTTTATATAATGTATTAATAAATGTGTTTTTTTACTAAATAACTTTGTGTAATGTGTTTTTTATGCTAATAAATTTTGTTGGTTTTTATTTATCAATGTATTATCATTTTATTTAGTAATTTTTAATATTAAAATGATACATATGAATAAAAATTTAACGCAGTCAAACAAGAAGATTTCATTAAAATCGAAAGTTTACAACAAACATAAATCATAAAATACACAAATAAAAACAACTCATCGAGAAAAAAACGAACAGAATACAATACAGAAAGAACTATATATATTCCCTAGAGTAGAGTAGAGTAAACTTGATTTTTGATTGACTCTACTCTAGGGTAGAGTAAACTTCGCTAGAGTAGAGATGAAACTTGATTTTTTCTACGAGTAAACTCCAGTAGAGTATAGATAAAGGCTGAAGATGAACTTAAACTCTGTTTTCATCGAGCATGGATGTAAGATATTTTTTAAAAATTTATTTTGTTTAAAAAACGAAATTAAAAAAATGTGTGTTTTTTTTTAATTGAGGTTTAGGGGTCAAGAGAATGTCTTTTAGTCATTGAAAGATATGGTTCGGTCCATCATTAAAACTTAAAAACAAGAGGAGCGGGAAAGAAAGAGAACTAAGGAAAATATCTAAGAATATAATAATCACTAATAGAGTATACCATTATGAAAATGGACACGTAACGACATTGTAACAGCTGCATTATTGGACCCTAAATAAATTGTAATCTTCCAAGACCCCACGTCGTTTTTAAAGCTTGGTGGGTTAATAAGCAAGCATATTATTTGTATACTTACAAATGATAAACTACTATAAGCTGCACTATTTTTAGGTCTTTAAAGTTGAGTGTAAGAAATCCCACATTTTGTGTCGCCATGTTTCATTTAAATACTATTTTTTCCAATATCTTTTGGTGAACTATTTTATAAGATGGTGGTGCACAGGTGTATTTGGGACTAAATACAAGTACGTAATTCATTGTTTTTGCAGACGCTGCTTCTAAGTATGAAATAATGAAGACTAACTATAGTATGATTAAATATTTGGCTGTCCAATGTAAGGTCCAGAGTATAAGATGGATGAGGCTGGGGAGTGTTTTCGAAGAGCTGCTAAGTTGGGACAGTTCTCATTGCAAACAATCCTCGAGCTCGAACTTAGGTCGGGCATACAAGTGTTTTATAAAAGCTGTCATGTGGGTGCAATTCTGGCTGCGAACGACCTCGAGTTCGGGCTAAGGATGGATCCTACCTAAACTCATATGGTTACTTGTTTACGAAGAAGAAAATTTTCAACTCCTTATACGAGTCTTAGCTCAACAAGCTCATCCAAAGTTGGGGACTAGTCGATATAACATTCATAAAATTAGTCTGTTTGATTCTATAAAGATATATGATATTAGCTTGAATATTTATAAAATATTCTTAAGAGATATCCAAGTGAATTTGTGTATATTTACTCTTCGATTTGGAGGATTTGATCTATCAATAATTAAGGAAATACCGTATTTTAGAGAATACTTCACTAAATTCCTTGTAAATAAAGGATTCATTTCACTCTATAGACATTCGCTCTGAATAGGCTTTATCAATGATAGGAACTTGAATACACGCTTTTTTACTTCGGCATCAGAGTGTCTATGCAAGTGTCTGTCACCCAGCGTTGTTTTGTAAATTTATCTGGTCAATGATTTAAGGTGAGAAGGTTTGACCGAAAATCTTGAGGGCCGATAATTCGTACACATCATTACCAATTGTTTACAATCATTACTGTACTACCTTTTTTTTTGTAAGTCATTACTGTCTTAATTTAATATCACATCAACTTTAATTATTATACTTTAACTTTCATTCATTCACAAAATCAAAATTAATTAATCTTTCGTTTAATCATGTTTTTCCACTCTCTAGCTCACTCTACTAATCAATCACAAAATTTCAAGATAATCTATTTCCAATCACATAAGAGCATGTACGAGTTACAAAATAAGAAAATCGTGACAAAAGAAAAAAAATACTATAACAGTCCGTAATCGGGGTACATAATAGATTAATAGTTGACCTGGAGCTGAATAACAAGTCGTTCCTTATTCCTTTGTGCTGGCAGAAACTGGAATTTGCATCCTACCATCCAAGATGAAATAGGTAATGAGTAGCACTGTCAAAACGGGTCATGGCCCGCGGGCTGGCCCGTCCGTCCGCCTAAATGGACGGGCTTGGGCCTTTGCTTGGCTAGCCCGTCCCGTTTGGCCCCACGGTCTAAACCGGGCTGGGGCAAGTTGGCCCCGTTTTTTTATTATTTATTTATTTGCTAATTTTATATTATTTAAATTTAGTATTTCTTATTTTACTTCTATAACTATTTATAGAAAAAATTAAAAATAAAAAATGGATGACAAATACTTAACATCATTACACAAGAAGTCTTACTATTTATTAATATACTAGTAAATATAAGGATAAATAAACCAAAAAGTATATAAGAGTGCATAATACCAAAAAACCTGCGGGCGGGCCGATTTGGCCCGCGGGCTAATGAGGGCGGGCCATGGGCCATAGATTTCTCAGCCCGTAAAAATGCGGGCCATTTTGGTCCGCCCCGTTTGAACCGCGGGCCGAACTGGACCGGCCGTTTGACACTGCTAGTAATGAGAAATGATGTAATGAAGCAAAGTTGAGACATTAATATCTCTGAGCTTTAGAAGATCGAGCAAATTGCAATGTGTGAGGGAGAATTTGAAGAGGTGGTAACAGGAAGCGGCGGGCTGCTACACTTTCATGTTAAATTACCACCATGCAAATGTTGGTCATTGTCAATTAATGGGCTACAATTAAAAGTTAAGTATTGCTGGGTTTTAATGGGCCAAGGTATAATTGGAAGTCCATTAATTAATGGGCCAAATAAAAATAATTATCATAGTTTAGTTTTGGGTTCTAATGGGCCAAATGATAATCATCTTGGTTCAGTTTTGGGTTTAAACTTTGTTGTTATTAGGCTTTAAGTTTTGAAATTGGCCCAGCCATATAGCCAAAAGGTGTCGTGACTCATTCACTTTAAAAATGTGTCGTCCGTGAACAAGTCTCGAGAGGATATTTGTAGGCAAATTAAATTTGTGGCCAATCAAATGACGCCAAGTGGAAATTAATATATTAAAAATCAAGTCATATTTACTATTTATATTTTAAGAATTTCTAATATTTAATTCCTAAATTTAAATAGTTGATTAATTGATATTTTAATTTTTGACCAATCAAATAATGTCAAGTGTCAAATCTTATTTCTTGGTAAATAAATCAAATATCTTCTAGAAGAACTTTAGAGATTTAGTAGATTAACAAGATCTTATGTGAATCATTATGAACCAATCAAATCGCGTCCTACGATTCTTAAATTTGGTAGGGTTTTCCCTCATGCACTTATAAATAGGGACTCTCCCTAAAGCTAAAAATACACATCATAATTCATATTCAAGTTCAAGAGCTCTAGAGATTCTCTCGACGAAATTCAAGTGTTCTTGAAGATTCAAAGGTGTTCTTGAAGACACGAAGCAAGATTCAAGCGCGTTCAACCTCAAAACTGGCGTTTAATCCGGAAACAAGCTGTCAAGCCTCAGAATTGCGTTAATAAACTCAAAAGTGGTGCGGAGAAGACTCAACATCTACTTTGGGGCTAATACCAAAGACTCGTGTTCTTCACGTTCTTGGGATATAATGGCGTTTGATCCAAAATCAAGGCGTTGGCCCTCAGATTAACGTTAATTCAAGTCAAAACCAAGTCAAGGAGAAGATCAAACAGACAATTTCGCTCCAAGACTTAAAATCATTCGTGAGAAGAATCAGAGGAGAAAATAGAGATTGTAATCTGCAAAATTCATTTGATTCGAGAAATTAATTTGTATAATATTTTTCATGTTTATAAATTTAATACACGAAATTTGTTGTTACAGGGACCTCAGAAGTTCATTGAGGTAGAGGTTGTGGTGACAACCTGGTTAGATACCGTGGCAGGGAGGTTCAAGGTTGCTTAGACGGCCTAAGGATCTGACTGTCGCATGGTAAGAGGGGACAAAATCCTTTAAGGATGGAAAATATATCTCACTAAGGAAACTCAGATACTAGAAACGTGATAAGATAAGAAAGTACATACTGTTGGATCTCTTTCCTAGATATGATTCTACTTGGGCAACAAAACACCTAGTATATAATGGATGATCAGGTTTTACTTTACACTGAATGCATTTTATGCATACCATCTTACAATTTACATTTGTCTTACGAGAGAGTACTGACCTGAGCATCAAATGTAAGAATTTAACGGGCATATTCATAACTATTAGGCGGAATTGAATAAACCCTAAGCAAGTAATTTTATCAATTCATAGAATATGGATCTTTTGCATAAATTAAATTTCACATAGAAACTTATAAGAATCCATTAGTCCTTTCCCGTTTTCTTGTATATCTGATCTTGCAGTCTGTCAATTGCCAATCGCCAATCGTGTGTTTCTGTTCTCTCTCCCGCTTCTCTCGTCTTTTCACAAAGCCCTTGATGTTGAGAAATTTATTTCGTATGAGATGGGAGAGAGGGACATGTAGTATATATAAGAGGAGGAGACTTACATGTTGTGATTTCTACTTGTTTTTTGTGTAATTTTAATTATAATATCATACTGTAATTAGAAGTGGGATGGAAGGTGAAGTTGTAAGAGAGAGAAAGAGAAATGTAGAGAGAAAGAGTGGTTGAATTTCTTGTTGCATTTCCCTTCAATTCACGCAGGTTAAATAACAAACATGGTCCCAACTACACATTCCTTTCACTACATGCCAAAATACATAAAACAATATCTAAAATCATTTATGCTAATTCTTTTAATAACTAATGCTTCCAATCCACGTAGCCTGCCACGTCCTCCTACTAATGTGCTGACAAATGCCCCGAGGACCCTTTAGTTTGACTGCCACGTGTAAAACCGCTTTCATTTGAATCGAGAAGAACCGTTTCCCTTTTCATTTCTGGATCTGCAATTGCCTCTTCACTGCCTTCAACCCTAATTTCCTTCTTCTCAATCTGTGACCTCAATTCTCCATTTCCACAGCTTAAGTTCATAACATTACAATCCTAATCCTACTAACATTCCTCATGTTCTAACCTAACTTACTGCCCAAATCAAACATCACAAATTGGACTCTTTAATATTAGAATATTAAATAATCCTTTAAATAAATATTCACCTTAATTAAGTTTGACTATTAATTCAATTAGGTCTAACTAATTATATGGTCTAAAATAATAGAAAAATATATAAAATATTATTACATCAAAGGTTTTTCCGCCTGGATCCCTCACGTGCTTATTGCAAGTCACCGAAACTCAGACAAATGGCAATTTGTGGTTATGTCAGTTTAACCTAGTTGAAGGACAATTTGCCTATGAGTAATAAAACTGTATTCATGGATGATGGATGTCTTGAGCTCTTAAACTGTGGGGGATGATGAATGTCTTGAGCTCTACGAGGTGCGAAGAAAGCGAGGAGCAAAGGGCGGAGTGAGAGAGCGGTTTGGTGCAAATATCATTGGCATGAAAGGTGTGCAAATATCGGAGAGCGAGATTTTGTGCAAGCTCCATTTTCGAGAGCTTTTTCTTTCAAAAGTAATTCTTTTTTTAAGTTTATTAACTATATAAATTTAATTTGGATCGACTATATATATATATATATATATATATATATATATATATATATATGTAAGAAAAAAAAAGGGTAAAGATAACGAGTTCTTATTGCCGTTATATCTATAGTCTATACTAAATAGCATCTGCTTTATATAACAATTTTACTACAATAATTCCATCGATATATTTTCTTTAACGGGCGTATCAATAGTTCTAAACACCTATTTTTCTATTGCATTTTTTCTACTAGTGGATCCAATATACCGCAAGGACTTTTATTTTTGTTATCAAACATTTTATTTTTTGTGTCCGGACATATCAAATCATTTGATAAACGTGCATTTTCACCTAATTCACACTTCATATTTAATATCAAAGAATAGGACTCGTCCATAAGTTGCATTATTAAAACAATTATATTTAAGTCTCTTTTTTTTTTTTTCTTCATTTTCTATATCCCACCAAACCAGTTATTGTTATATAAAAGTACGTCAACTTTGACACGTTTTCTTCACCGTTAATACAATTGGTCAAAGACGCCTTGTAGAGATTCAAATTCCAATTGACGAATAGAGTAATAATGAAAGAAAGATAGAATTAGCCAATAATAAAAGCAGTATTCATGTGAAATACGTAGACAAAAACGTGCTGCTTATCTGGTTTCACTTGGCGAAAAGTCGTTAGACTAGCTATGGCACACGTGAACGTTCGCTTCGAGATGAACAACATTAATTATGTGTGAGACTAAAGGTGCATGCACTTGATTTGGTTCAAATTGATCAATATTTGTGGGCGTAAGTGCACTATAGTGAGATTCTATCTCAAAATTAATTAATTATGGGAGGAGTAACCCACTAAATATATAAGGTAGACCCTGTTTTTTTATAGAATCAATGTGGGACAACTCACAAGTGATACTCCAACAATTTGTTATATAATTGACTAATTTAAATATAGTTTTGATTGAAAATTTAAATTTGTGTTGAGAAATATTAGAATTGACCAAATACGAAAAAAATTAAAATTAACCATTTTTACAATAAATTTGGGCAAAATACGAATTTTGCTAATAAATTTAATAGGTCACAACCCTAGATGACATGTTAATTTTCAATTAAAATGTCATTAAGTATATCTCGTTAAATTTCTGATCAAAATTTTGATTCTCAGTCACAATTATTCTCAAATTAGAAATTAGAATGGTGCTGACGGCCATACATTTAGAAAAAAATAGAAAAAGGAAAAAGAAAGTAAAGAAAAATGGTGCCGTCGGAAATGCGCAATAAGTTGAATAGTCAAAATTTTCTTCTGTATAAAAATAATTTTATAATATATTAGGTATGCAAATATCATGTTCTGTGTTCTTCTCAACGGCGGGCGGATTTTGACCTCGTGGAAAAGAATTTCAATGCAGCCCATGTTTTGGAATTTTTCTTCTTCTTTCCGTTGTAATATATTATATATTCCTGATTTATGTCCTACTCCATTGAATTTTTAGTCGGCTGTGGTTGGAATCTATCAAATTGTGGATAATCCAAAATCCCCACTATTTAATGTATTTAAAATGATTAAGAGTTTCATGACCAAAAGGAAAAAGAAAAATATAAAATGATGAAGCTAATTTTCATAGAGTAAAAGTTAGGTAGTTATATTTTTTTTAACCAATGTTTATACTTTGTACTCTAAAACAAATGTATGTTATTACTTTGTATTTTAAAAAAAGTATTACATGTTGACTCATCTCAGTATTTAACAGTTAGGTCGTCTCATTTTTTTTTTTTCCAAGATGGAGCAGAGAAAGTGGAATTTNTCAATTTCGCTCGAGACCGAGGTCACATGGATTTGGGTAGTCTAATGAATAGTACCTCATTGGATCTTAACTCCAAGCCCATCAAAATTCTTGATGAAACTCAGGTACATACTTATATTTGGAGCCTTTTCAGTTGTATTACATTTAGTTGCATTGAAATTGCCTGGTCTTTAAATTGCATAAATTTGAGTTTAACATATAAGTTAGCCATATATTTAATTTGTTGTTCCTTCTAGTTTCAGAATCAAGAAGTTGAAGATAATTTCATTAAGTTGGGAAGAAGTACTGTCACAGTTGAAGAAGAGGTGAGCAGCTCTTATCTTGATTGATCATAGGTAAAATGTGATGGACAAAATGGAAAGTTTGATTAAAAATTAAGGGTCCATTTTCACTTATTTGTTTATTTATTTATTTCCTCCTTAAGCAGAGATGGGCTTTGATGGAGGAGCTGAATAGGGTGAGTGCCGAAAACAAGAAGCTAACAGAAATGCTAACCGTGGTTTGCGAAAATTATACCGAGCTAAGAAGCAAGTTAATGGAGTACACAAGCAATAATTGTGCGGTGGGAAATGCAAATAACAATAAGAATGATATTACATCATCAAGAAAGAGGAAGGCTGAGATGATCGAACGAACGTATGTTAATAATGTGGGGTCCACAGACAGCAGCTCGAGTGGTGAGGATCATTCGTTCAAAAAACCAAAGGAGGAAATCGTCAAGGCCAAGATTTCACGGGTTTGTGTCCGAACGGAAGCATCTGATACCAGCCTTGTAAGTCCCGGAATTTATATTTATCGAGTTCGTTTTGGAAAGTCGCAAAAAACTTTGCAGAAATCTGTGTAGATTGTGAAAAGACAACCCATACGTCGTTTGAGAATTTGATATCGACCAAGATTTAGTCTGAGAGAATATTTATACATAATTGCAGATAGTGAAGGATGGTTATCAATGGAGGAAATATGGACAGAAGGTGACTAGGGACAATCCTTCACCAAGAGCTTACTTCAGGTGTTCTTTTGCTCCTACTTGTCCAGTCAAGAAGAAGGTAAAAAAAAAATTAAGATTTGTATATGTCCATATTAAAATAACACAAACTTTCAAGATTTCTCATCAGACAAAATTTCCTTTTGGACACTCTCAGGTTCAAAGGAGTGTAGAAGATGGGTCGGTTTTGGTGGCGACGTATGAAGGAGAACACAACCATCCCCACCCCTTGAAGAGCGACTCGAGTCCCACATCCAATAGGAGCGTGAAACCTGGCAATGTCCTGCGATCAAATGCTCAGGGCTCCTCTGCTCAAACAATCGCTCTTGACCTAACCAAACGCAACCCAAGAAGAAAATCCGAGACACCACAAGTACACCAACAGTACTTTGTGGAACAAATGGCTTCTACTCTGACCAAAGATCCCAGTTTCCAAGCTGCATTAGCGGCTGCTATTTCGGGAAAGCTTCTTCAGCAGAATAAATGGACGTGAAAATTATAGAATCAAAAATCGCTTTGCTTTGATCGAGTTGTGACAGGAAGCAAAGCACTCAATGCTTGACATAGTTCATGGATTGAGGGAACAAGAAAATTGAACTTTTTTTTTTGGCCATATTTATGTACATAGTGAAATTAGCACTGTCTATTATCATACACTTTCTTGTAAATAGTTCAATCCTTGTTGACATAGAAAAATTTAGTCGGATAAGAGATTTCGACTGAAACTGTGTGTTTTTCATTTGTGCGGTGTCTTTTTTTTTTTTTTTCNGATGTTCTATTCATTTGTTATGCTGACATGTCTAATACAGTAATGGTTTGATGTAATGTCTCAATATTGTGATTGAAGAACAAGAACACAAGAATTCACCTGTAACTCACTAATGTATAACAGTCTTTTATACTCATCAGCCTAAGCTTCATAAATAATTTTGTATTCAGGATGGAGATTTGCTTGCAAAAAGAAGCTAGACCTTTTGCCCATCATTGTTCACTACACCTCAATACTAAAGTAATGAAATCTACAAGAATAAGGCAATGACTGATTTGTACATAAACTTCAGTCGGCAAGAAGTCCAACAAAACAAAATGTGGGAAACTACACAGTACTCAATACATTACATAGGATTAGTGCACATGAATTTCCATGAAGTTGACAAGTTGTCTTTTGCCATTAGTGGGTATGTTATTCGAGCCGACACAAGTAGCTTCCAATCGAGCACCTACTCGTTTAATAAATGACATTAAACTTGAAACCTTCCACGAGTTGTTCGTGAAGAAGTTCGGCCCGACTATTTCATTTAAAATCCATAAATAATAAAAGAAAAGTAAAAAAATGAGTTGTTTGAGAACAGGCTCGACTCAATTCATATGATCTATGAGCCAAATTCATAATTCTTATGAATGAACTGATGTATCAGTCTTGACTAGGTGGAATGAACTAATTTGAGCCTTTCTAAAATTTATAACATAATGAAAGACAGACTTAAATTGAGAATCATGATGAGACTATGTATTAACATAAATTGAGAATCTATTCTCACAGGGTACACCAGAGAACTTAGAAGGGGCAAAAGGAAAATAAAAGCAAAGCAGAAAGAATAGCAGGAAATTCTAAACACAACACGATTAAAACCCATAGTGATTAGAGCATCTCCAATGCTATGGTGTTGAAAGACAATAATTTTTAACACATGTCAATTGATGATTGTAATGTTGATCCACATAAGAATAATGTTAAAAGACTAAAAATTTGAATCAAACTAGTATCTCCAATGCACCAATTTGATAAGAATTTATTTGTATAGGTGGACCAATTATAATAATTCATTAATACAAGAATAATAAAAAATTAAACCAGATATAAAGTGAATTAATGAGTCATCATGTTTAACATGGTGTTAGATATTAGAAAGTGAGTTCAACATTGTTAACATTAAATGCCATCCACATCATCATGAAAGAGCTAATGACAAGATGCATTGGAGAATAAATTAGTAATAAACTTTCAAAAGTTGATGATATGGATAATTTTTTGCAATGTCAAAAGTCACACTGGAGATGCTCTTAGCCCACATCGTGGGGCAAGTACTGTCATACATCTTATATCCCGTGCAATTTCTCTATTTAACTTTTGCCTAGCCGGCAGAAATTCTTCTGTCAGGTCAAATTTTTTTCTTTAGTTTTATTATGACTAGTATTCGACCTGTGCATTTGTACAGATATAAATAAATTATTGTGAGTCAGTATATATGATGATTAATTATTTTTCTTTCACTTTTTTCAGACCAAATTTACTATTAAAAGGGTTGGAATATTTTTTTTTTTAAATTGCGTTTATCTGATTGGATGTAATGTATATTTTGGTACGTCTTTTATTTGTGAATTATTTATTATTTATTTAGGAATTCAAATATATTTTTTATTTTAAAAAAAAAAAATTAAATGTAACAACAATAATAACATCTAATCACATTATACGGTCAACACATTATATGGTCAACTGTCATTAATCAAAAGTTTAAAATGATTTTTGTAATTTTGAAGTGATGAGTATTAATTATTTAATGATTAAATGAAAGATTAAATACATCAAAATGTAACGGTTTTTGGAGGAAAAATTGTTAAATTGTCACATAAGTAAAATTAAATAGGTTTTATTAAATTCTATTAGCTAGTAATTACATTTATATAGATTAGCCTGAATGGTAAGAATCTTATCACAGTTTATTTAATTTTAATAGTTTTTGAAAAACTTACATTGGTGCTTCAACCAATGGTTGCTAGTTTAAATAATAAAAATATATATATTAAGTATTAACACGAGTCTGTAGCTCAATTGATAACACTCATGTATAAAACTTTTTGTAGTATTTATTGGCACATATTGGAATCTATTAATTTGTACAATTTTTAATATATTTAGATTTCACTCCCACTAATCATCACATAACCATTAAAAATTTTAACAAATAAAACTTTATTTTATTCAAATATTTAAGTTTCAAAAAATCCAATATCTGAAATCTGATAAAGTCAAATATATTATTGATTTTATGGAAGTCAATTAACGTGTAACTATTAAGTATCTAGGTTAAAATAATACCTGGAGAAAAAAAAAAAAGGAAGAAGAAGAAAACGGAAAGGAAAGAAAGAACGGGTAAACCAAATAGGAAGACCTCATAAATATTTGATCAAGTTTTATATTCTTTAGTGGCGTGGTCCAAGAAAATTATATTCTACTACTTATATAATTATAATGTAAATCATGATTGAGTGCATAAAATTACTTTAGGCAACAAAAATGCTCCATTTGTGAAAATTCCCTTTTCAATATTCCATTCTTTCTTGTCATCTCACAACCTTTTGTTCGGCTATACAGTCCGCACCATCTATTGTATTCTATTCACATTATAATTATTTTGAAAATAAAGGAATGTACAATAATATTTACGGTAGGTATCTTGAAGAATAATTCCATCTTCTGAATGGACGTAAATCAAACATATAAAAAACAAAATAAAATTGAAGAACATCGCATTCTAGTGTTGTAGTTTTATGCAATAATTTACACTTCAAAAAGAGTGATTCGTTAGTTAAATAAATAAATTTGATCATCCTGGATTGAATATTTTAGATAATCGATTTTTAGATAATTGGAATTTCGAAAATGCTTTCAGGAATCTTGTAAGAGATGGTAAACCAAGTCGAAAAGTTGGTCTGAGAATAATAAAATAAAAAAATTAGACACATTCTGGATTTCCTCCACCTCATTTCTCCACCCCCCATACTTATAATATTCTCCATACTTTGCATAAAATATAAATGTACCAGTAAATAACTAATTATTATTAGAAGTACATCTTCTATAGGATCAGCCTAATTAACCATTAGACTAACATAATTTTATTTCATAAATATGCACATTTATTAGAAAATATCACATTTTAAAAAAATTACATAAAGTATAAAATTTCATCATATAGTTGTGTCATTTTTATATTTTGGGGAGAAAATTCTCCTATTGTGTCATTTTCATAAAATGTTCAACGGTCAAAATACAAGTACATGCTCTATTTATAATAAATGGAAAATGCGACTAAAGGAGAAAAGACGCAAATGAAAAACTAACAACACTTGACTACAGTAAGACTACTAACACTGATATATCATAATCCAACTATAACTATCTCAACACACTCCCCTCAAGTGGGCTGACAGTGAAAATCTGTCATGCCCAACTTGACCACCATAGATCGGAAAGGTTGACCACCAAGAGATTTGGTCAAGCCATCTGCAAGTTGCTGTGAAGAGGGAATGTAGCTAGGAGCAAGCAAGCCTTCCTTGAATTTTTGTCTGGCCAAATGACAGTCTATTTTCAAGTGTTTAGTCCTTTCATGGAAAACCGGATTCTCCACTATATGCAAGGCAGACTGGTTGTCACAAAGTAAAGGCACAGGAAGAAGAACTGGAATTTGAAGATCATGTGCCACATACACCAACCACTGAACTTCACAAGTTGTAGAGCTGAGAGCTCTATATTCAGACTTTGCTGAGGATTTTGAGACAGTAGATTGCTTTTTACTCTTCCATGAAATAAGAGAGTCTGCCAAGAAGATACAAAAACCAGTTAAGGACCTTCTAGTCTCTGGACAAGCTCCCCAGTCAGCATCACAGTATGCTGTCAATTTAAACCTGCTGGTACTAGGATAAAATAACCCCATAGATGGTGTACCCTTCAAATATCTAAGCACATGCATGGCAGCATCCCAAGGAGAAGTGTAGGGATCATTCACAAATTGGCTGAGTTGCTGAACTGAGTAGGCTATGTCAGGCCTAGTAAGATTGAGGTACAACAACCTTCTCACTATTCTCCTGTATGTGTCTGCAGAGGATAAAGGCAATCCTTCTTTGCTCTTCAACACTAAACCATGTGGAAAAGGAGTAGCAGCTGTCCTGCTATGTTCAAGCTTCATATCCTGAAGCATGTCCAACACATATTTCCTTTGACTAAGATAAGTCCCATGGTCTCCTCTTGTAATTTCAATTCCCAAGAAAATTTTTGCAAAACCCAAGTCTTTAATGGTAAACTCTTTGTTCAGATAGGACTTCAAATCCACTATCAACTGTAAATTAGGCCCCATGATGAGGACATCATCCACATATACCAAAAGAGCTATAAAACTATCCCCTGTAGACTTTGTAAACAAACAATGGTCATGTTGTGATTGAGCAAAACCATAAACCAAGAGTTTGTCACAAAATTCCTGATTCCACTCCCTGGAGGCTTGTTTAAGGACATATAAGCTCTTTTTTAACCTACATACCTGCCCACTGTTCCCTTTGTCATAGCCTTGTGGACATTCCATGTAAATTTCCTCCTTCAAACTCCCATGCAAGAAAGCATTGTTGATATATATTTGGCACAAAGTCCAGCCCTTAGCTGAACTGATAGCCATAAACAACCTGACAGTCACCTGCTTAGCAACAGGAGAAAAACAACCCACATAATCAACTCTATAGACCTGTGTGTAGCCTTGGCTACCAGCCTAGCCTTATACCTATCCACTGTCCCATCAGGTTTCCTTTTGATTTTATAAACCCATTTGTTACCTATGGGTTTCTTTCCTGTTGGTAAGGTAACCAAATCCAAGTATCATTTTTCTCAAGAGCATCTAACTCTTGTTGCATTGCCCTGACCCATTCAACACTATTCTTTGCATGAAAATAAGAAGCAGGTTCTTGATCAATGGATACATTGTGCAGATATTCAAGGTAGTCAGGGTGCAAAGGGTATGTATGAAGGTAAGAATGTATATGAGTATCAGGATTACCTGTTGTGGTCACCCTCTGAGATTGCTCCA